ATTATGCAGCCGAACTGAGAAGATTGGCTCGATTTTGCAACTTCGGTGCTGGTCTTGAGGACACCATACGAGACCGTTTTGGAATCAGAAATGTCGTACTATGTAGGAAAGTACTGATGAAGGACGTTCTGACTATGGAAGACGCCCTGAAGACCGCTATGGGTTAGAAGACCGTCGACCGAGAAGCAGCTGGCCTCGCAAGTAACTCCGGGAAGCTCATCTGCTAATCTGCTAAGGCAGCACAATCGTCGCGCAGGTGCCGCGTGTGGGAAGAAACAGCCGCTATTGCAGCGTTCAGGGAAGCCTGTGGGAAAGACGGACTGTTATCGCTGTGGATCAACAGACCACGAACCGGCAAAATGCAAATCAAATCAGTGGAGTGTCATTATTGCCACAAGCAAGGGCATCTGAGTCGTGTTTGATGGAAATGACTGTCTACTGAAGGTAGCAGTAGTCCAAGGAGTTGTCAGTGACTTCAGTGAGAAGGTACGATGTGTATCCAGAGACGACTTCCAGACCATTCACATCTGGGTGGTTAATCCAGTGCACGTCCTAAACCATTTCATACTTCTCCAGCAGCAGAAATTCAGGAGAGTTTTCTACTGCCCTCAGAAAGAGTTTATTATCGTTATTCTCACGGTGGCCGTAGCCAATAAGAGAGAGACAGTACTATGTGTTATCAATCAGAGTGGGTGCAATAAACCGGGAGAAACAGTGGCTAGTGGCAGCCGTGGTTGGGGTGCTTCATTTAAGTAAAGACGAGGAGGGAAGTATATCCATTGCGAGGGCAGGTAGGCGATATACCTTGATTAAAATAATATACCTAGGCTGGGCTACAGCGGGGGTTGGAGCATGTGCTAATTGATGATACTATGATCGGGGTAACTTCTCTTTTGAATGCATTTATTTCTCGGAGGGAGTAACAGTGTGGTGGCAGGTGGTTGTACTGAGTGCATGCTGAGTACAAGGGTGAAAGTTGAAGGCGGGTGGAGTGGGTGGTGGGGAGGGCAAAGACTCGATGACGCCTCAATTCTCGGCTTGGTGGCTCGGTGATGTAGCCTGAGGTCACAAGCTGGATGTGTGGCGGGGATCGTTTGACAGCGATGGTGTGTGCAAAGAGTAGCTGCTTGAGCTTCCTGCGGGATGAGAGGGTAGGCCAAGTGACAAGGTGGAGTAACGAACTGTGGTGTCAAGGACTGAAGAGGGGGAGTCGGAGGCAGAGTTTTGCTGACCGCCGTTGGAGACGTTCGAGGGCATCTTGTTGCTGAACATTCATAGCTGACATAGCCAGAGAACCATGTTCGATAATGGGGCGTATATACGTGGTGCACAGTGCTGACAGGGCGGTGGGTGAAAGACGTCCACGAATCCGTCTCAAGAGGTGGAGAGTGCGTGCAACTTTGCTCTCGATGTGCTGGATGTGGGCATTCCACTTCAGGTCGGCCTGAACGATGATACCCAGGTGTCGCTGGCTCTGGACTCTGTTCAGTATTTTGCCTTTCAAGGTTATTGTCAGGGGGAAAGCACCGCACAGTGTCATCACGACCGTCTTCGTTTCGTTGACGGTCAGGTGCCAGGTGTCGAGCCACGTAGCGGCTTTAGTCACACTGGACTGGAGCGCTCGCTCTGCTGCCGCTGCTGAGTGGTCGCTAGCGATTAAGGCGGTGTCGTCGGCGAAGAGGCTGCTTCGTGTGGCTTGGGAGTTGCAAGCTGCTGGTAGGTCCATCGTGTATACATCCCTGCAGGGACTCCTGCAGGGATGTCAAGCCAGTCGGAGGCTGTGCTTCCGATTCGGACCCGCTGCCTCCGGCCCTTCTTGAAGATTGGAGACACCATGGCATCTCGCCAGTCTCTCGGGACTTGTCCGTGGGTGAAGGAGTGATTGAAAATTATTGTTAAGGAAGGGGCGATGCGGTCGGCAGTGAGCTTCAGAAGAATAGACGGGATTCCGTCCGGGCCGGCGCTTTTGTTGGTGTCAATGTGACGAAGGAGCTCGAGTACCTCCACTTCAGTGGCGGTGACATCCTGGAGTGTCCTGTCAGTAACCCGCGGCGTGTGGATGGGAGGAGGAGGGCCAGTGCACCCATGGAGTGACTGCCTGCTCTGCTCAACGAAGAAGTTGTTGAAGGTTGTAGCCTTGCCGAGGTCAGAGCTAATGGTGTTCCCATCACATTCCAAGTCGGGAACGCCACGCTGTGCTGAGGTTCTAAGGAGGGACATCACATTGTACAAGTTGCGGCGATTGAACGCCACACCGTGCTCATCCACTGTGTCCTCTCTTACTAGGTATCCGTGCACATAGTCAGACTTCGCGGACAGAGTTAATGCTACCGACTGTTTAAGTATGGGTCATCCATGTCCAGTAGCAATGCAGCTAGCAACCATGCAAGGGGCTGGACTGTAGACATGGACATCGAAGGCGTGAGTGCACCGTTTATTGTTGACACAAGTGTGTCTAGAATGTCTAGGACCGAAGCCATCGCCAGGTACTGAGTGACACTGGCATGCAGTTGCGTTCATACACAGGAGACAGCATTTCAATTTGTGGCAAGGCAACTGTGGATGTTGCATAGCAGACACAGACCTTTATGTTGCCATTGTACATTGTCGACAGTACTCGACCAGCACTGTTGAGAAGGAACTGGTTGGAATGCATTGCAAATGAAAGGTTGTTCCTCAGAGAATGCAAATGCTGGCTGTATGTGCCATCTTTCGCTTCCCTATTGTGAGGAGCCAGTTTGAAGTGCTGGAGATTCTTAGTGTTCAGCTGCAGCAGCTACCTGTGCTGGCCGTGGACATCAATAACACTACAACGAAGGATGCTGTACTTAGCAAGGTCGTACAGTATGTGAAGATTGGGCTGGCCCAAGACTGTTGACGAATCGCTTAAACAGTACCATCGTGTATCGGCAGAGCTAACAATCGAGCAGGGTGTCTACAGCGTGGTATACGGAGGGTTATTCCAGAGAATCTGCAGCCATGCATTCTCGGCGAGCTTCACAATGCACATTCCGGCGTCGTCCGGATGAAGGCATTGGTACGTACACACGTATGGTGGCCTAAGATCGATGAGGGCATTAAAAGCACCACGCATCGTCGCAACGCTTGCCAGGCAAACCGCAACCAATATGCGCCTGTTCCTGTGATGTGTTGGACATGGGTTACCGTTCCGTGGCCCGTTTCCGTGCCGATATTGCGGGTCCCATGGATGGATGGATATACCTAGTGAGTATTGACTTATACTCAGAGTGGCTGGAAGTGACGGAAATGACCTCAACTACTAGCAAGGCAACCATCGCCTTGTTTGATCAACTGTTTGCACGCTATGGTCTGCCGAATGCCATTATCACCGACAATCGACCGCAATTCGTATTGCAAGAGTAGAACGACTACATATTGTCCATATGCGCAGTGCACCATACTTCCCCGCAACAAATGGCCCCCTTGAGCTTTTGATCGTCCTACAAGTGTAGTAGGAGCTTTCGCTCACGTTGGCCAACTGCCGTTCATCTCTGCCCGAAGTCATTGGACTTCCTGGGTAGGAATCGTCGCGTCTGGTAGAGAACGACGACAGTCCTCACAAGATGTTTTTGTCGATGCCCAAATCCTATTTGGCGACGAAAAATTCAACTTGATTTATGCACTCCGCCAAAGGAGATCTCTGCTGGGGAAAGTACTTTCTGACATCTGGAAATCCTCGTAGGGCCCTTCTGATTTTAGTACAGCTCCGCTGGAGGGAAATACTCAACGAGGAGAAACTAGTAAGGCGACGGCAACAGAGGCAGTTGAACTGAAATGTCCTGGATCACCTGGAGTACGGACGAAAGAGCGCTGCCGGTAGTGCCATGATCTGCCGCCCTGGACTCCGCGAGGAGCACCAACACCCTAGGCCGGGGCATCAGCTGAACTAAGTACTTGTGATTGATGAGCTATGAACTCTTTGCGCTCAGTGCTGGAATCATGGCTCACTGACACGCATGCTGCCAGTTTCCCCCAGAGCTCAAATTTCACAGACGTGCAGCAGAACAATGATGGACTACCTCTGAATCGTGCACGAGATGAAATGTGTGGTGTTAGAATGTTGTGCCTGTGTCATATTCCCTGTGGGATGCACAGACTGGGACTCCAGGTGTAGTTGTAGCCACCCTCCCTCCTGTTCTGGACTTCTGCGGATTATCAGCAGACTTAGGATGGTGTTCAAGCAGTTTCCATTGCCATCTGCAGTGACGAGGATCAAGACCATCCATGCTCTATGCCAGAAGTTGTGCGAGAGTTGTTTTACAACAAAAACTGAATGGCTGATTTATTACACTGCCTTTTGTTTTTATCCCACAACAATTGAGAATGAGAGGGCTTGAAAGCCCTCGTTATGGTTTGTTTTTACCTAAGTTGTCATGTGTGCTGTTCAAACTGATGAAAACGTCTTCGCAATACACCCCCCCCCCCCCCGCTCCATAATCGTAATGCAAAAAGACGTTCCTATCAGTTCAAACAACACACAGGACTACCTAGGTAAAGATTAGGGGTGAAACGGTTCGATGATTTTCATGTTGGGGTACCCTAATGCCAGCATAGTTTCCCATGTTTCATTTATCGGCTCCATGCACTCTTTTCTCCAGACCGACAAAAAGCGTTTATGAAAAAGATTTTTGGAAAAAGATTTTACGAGCAAGAACGAGACATTGGAGAGTCCACGTGCAAAGAAGATAATGACCAGGAGAACCCTTTGGAAGAGCGGTGATCGTAAGGTTAGACATTAAAATATTGAGTAGATTTGACGCGTACATGTATTTGTATGAGAACGAGATTTTTCGAGTTTCCGTTCGAAATTGGACGGAACCGGCACCTGATTCTTTTCAGCTGGCGGTTCCAAAACCGGTTCCTTTACCCGAACCATGTCACCCCTACTAAAAACAAAGGATAGCAATGGCTCCGGGTCTTTCAAGCCCTCTCGTCTAGGTTCCAACAATTATAGCACCAATTTGACTAGGTACACATACCACTGAAGGTGAGGAGAGGTTGCTTGAATGCGACATTCTGTTCAGGTCTGCCAAGCCTTCGGTAGATGCCAGCATGGACGCTACCAAATGCTCCTGTAGGTGAAAAAAACAGCGGAAGAGAACAAAGACAAATCAGATGTACCACAGACTGACGAGAATAGGTAGAGTAAAAACCTGCGTTTGTCGGACCCGGTATGAAGCGAAATCCTAGATTGACCGGACAAAGTTTCACGCACAAAAAGTTTCATGCACAAATGTGCTGTGGATTGAACTTGCGTCCGTGGGTGAAGCGGAATCCTGTCATATCAGGACAGTTTCCACAGCGCTAAGGGCGTCCGCGGTTAGGGTGTGTCTCGCTATAGTTGGTTTCAGCCAATCGGCCACTAGATCCAGCTATGCTAAAGTGATCTTCAGTACCGAAATACACAATGTCGTCTCTTAACCCGGTGTGATCATTGTGAATTTCAGGGGCGCCGCAAGGTATTTTCGTGTCGCACGGTCAGCCATGTGAAGTACAGTTTACTCGTGGGGATGGGTGGCTGAGATGAAAATTTTCGGAAATTTCGAGCCCAAATCACCAACCTGATCGCAGTCGTGAGTCACTCAAGTGTCAAGTTCTGCAAGAAGTGTGTGTTCCTCGTTGGAACAATCAACTTTAAATCACCAAATCCGCGAGCTCCGATGTAGGGAGCAACACACTCTTCCCCTAATATCGCCGAAGTCGCACCAACCTCTTCAAATCAGTGTATTTCATTTATTTACGGATACCTGGGGCAAAAAGTGCTGTTCATACCGTGGTGTCCGTACCATGTCCATGTCTGGCCTGTCCACACTTTTGGTATCAAAGAACATAGTCATAGGTCTCACAGACCTGGTGATCACCCCCACCCTGGCCATGGCCCAGGATCGGTTGTAACCGCTTCCCAGGGCGTGCACACAGTTCGACATTATTAGATGCATTATGTCAATTCTAATGGTCTGTTTTATTTCTATGAGAGTGTTTGACATTCTCATGCATCGTCTATACTCGCTTCTATGAATTCTGTTGTATTTGAGTAGGGTTCCAATTTACTTATCACATTCTTCCTTTCATGCAATTGTTTTCATTACTTGAATTGGGTTCTACTCCTCCACCATGGCAAATCGTGTTTCGTTTGCCCCTTAAATTACGCCTTATCAACATCATGACAATGACGATGATCGATTATCATTTTGCCTTTTGCGGTGGCCAATTACTTGCTTCGTGGATGCCGTGGCTCGTATAACAAAAGACGTTTGAATTCATTTGTTGCTCAGTGCCGTCAGGCTCGTTAGTGCATTGCACTTGACCCGAGCAGAATATCACATGTCACTTCAATAATTATGTGGGATTAATATCTTACATTAGACAATATATTTTTGGTACAATATAAGCAACCATCCAATATTTATCTGTCACAATAATATTCTTAAAATTTAACTCAATTCCATGGTTTCCCGACTATATTGCCATTATTCATTGATGATAATCTATTCAGTTTTCTCTGGATTGCCCGTAAAAGAGGCCCTTCTCTATCATCATCACCGTCATCATCGTCATCATCACAAGCCATTGGCCCTATCTAAGGCCAATCGATCGATCGATCGAGAGAGAGAGAGAGAGAGAGACAGAGAGACAGAGAGAGAGACAGAGAGACAGAGAGACAGAGAGACAGAGAGACAGAGAGAGAGAGACAGAGAGACAGAGAGACAGAGAGACAGAGAGAAAGACAGAGAGAGAGAGAGAGAGAGAGAGAGAGAGAGAGAGAGAGAGAGAGACAGAGAGAGAGAGAGAGAGAGAGAGAGAGAGAGAGAGAGAGAGAGGGAGAGGGAGAGGGAGAGAGAGAGAGAGAGAGAGAGAGAGAGAGACAGACAGACAGACAGAGAGAGAGAGACAGAGAGAGAGAGAGACAGACAGACAGAGAGAGAGATAGAAAGAGAGAGAGAGAGAGAGAGGGTAATACTGTAAGACCAGTAATGTAAACGAACATTTAATTCTAACGAGTTAACGAAATTAGAAATTTTTTAACATTTGAAGTCGTTATGTAGAAAACGATATGCGAGCCAGAGCTCGCTAAAATATGACCAGACGCAAAATTCAATTTTCATTTTTTTGTTAAAAAATGATCAAACACACCTAATGTTTACTGGCTGGAAGTTTTGGATTGATCTGACATGTCTAAGTGCTGCTACAATGGTATTATATGCAGCACTGTTGAAATGGTGAAATTCTATGTACAGCAATGGGATTGTCATTTTGTATACGTTGATATGTCCCTTGGTTCAACTTTTCTGCGTCAGCTCCTCTGTCCAAGGTCTTATAGCATGAGCCGACAGGTACTCCGCCACATCCAAAGTTTCTATAGGCAGCTGAGCTGGGTGTCCGAAATACCTCCTGGTTGGAGCACCACTGGAGAACCGCTGGCGAAAACACAGTCTACATCTGTAGACGTCCCAAGAAGTTGGTACTCCACATCCTCCACATCCTCCCCATCACACTCCACCCGTACTTTCAGATATACACTGCTGCACTAGTATGATCACACCAGAGCAGTTCAGGACAAGACAACATGGGAACTGTTGACTTCAAGATCAAAGCTAGAACGCCGAACTAGAATGACATGGAAGCTCAGCAGCACAACAGAAACGCATGCGCAGCTGATACAAACTTAGAGTAGAGGAGTAGAAAGATAATGATCTATCACGTCAGGTAGCTCACTAGTAATGATATGACATGCACACAGTCTTCCTCAACATACTCTGTGTCGCATTCATTTAATTTATTCCTCACACCAAAGCCCATCTACCTGCACACGGTTTTCTCCGCTCGCCAGAGAGAACTGCTTTCGCTGCCTACTGCTAGTGTTAGCGATGTTCCGCATCACAGGACTCAAATAATCGACTTGAGGGAACAGCACAGTCCATTGATTGTTTTTGCACTTGCAACCAACACTGGCAATACTGTCCCAGATATATGCAGCCATGTGCACTCTGGGCAAATCATTGGCCGATTCACCTCCAAAGTCAGTGCCCATGCCAATCGCTTGGCAGGTTGTCATCAGAGTAGAACTCCTCGTCACTGCAGATCGTGGGACTACCAGCATCAATTCTTTTACGCTCGATGAAAGTGTCGCTCTCAAATGACTCGTCGCTTTAGCCATCATCGTCTTCCTTCTGTTTCCAACGCAAGTCCACAACATATTTCATCCTGCGCATGAAGTGCGAGGATGTCGTCTTCTTCCGCTCCGCAGTACATTAGGCTTTTCCTGCGATACACCAATGACGATCAGTTTTAGGCGACTCGGCGCAACATGAAATACAAACTCACAAAAATAAACTTAATTGTACTTGGTCCGACTTATTGAAATGTGCGCTTCACTTCAAAACTCAAGCATCTGTACAAAGAAGCACCTGTACTAAAAAATCAACCAAGAGACGGTAGGTAGATGACTACTGTGTCGTTTTTTGGCCTGACCTTCTAGTTTTCATCGCTGCTGGTGTCTTAGGGCGCATTTGCAAGTGCGTAAACCTGCAAAACGTCGACATTGTTTTCATCTCCTCCGAGCTACACTGCGCTTCTTTGTTTTTTTCACTCCATAGGCACGATTTCCACGATCGACTTCGCCTCCTCCTCGTGCAGTGCGACTGCCAGAATGGTGGCTGTAGGTGTTTTCGCCTGACGCTCCCACGACACCTTCAAATGGGGCGAAAAAGTAAACCACCACGCATAAAAATCACTTCTCATCACCGTGTGCCGCGCGCGTACTGAATCCGATCTGTGTTGATATGTCATGCAGTTAGACCATGCGTGCTCTTCCCTGCCTGTTTCACGAATCCACTGGCCCCAGAGACTGGCGATCTTGTAACGTATCGTGATCGCGGCTCCGAGGACTCCGCACCGTATTCGCCGGATAGTTCACCCTTGGCCTTTCTGCGTTTCAGTTTTCCAGCCAGGTTACTTATTTCTATCAACTTCTCGACAATCTCTTATGTGATCTTGATTCGTCGGCCGCCACATCGTGAACGACGGCGAGAGAGATCAGCAAACTGGACGGAGCGATGCTGGTGCTTTGTGCACGAGTTTCTGGATGACGCGTTTGCTGAAATTCTGCCAAGGAAACAGCGATTGCAGCAATTTCAATCCGCCAGGAGGCACTCGAGAACGATCGCCCAGGAGTTTCTGGTACTCCATGACAATTCCCCATCGCAGTGGGGTGTTGATTTCAGCACCAGGCCTTCTCTGTGTTGCACGAGAAGCAACAGGAGTCCTCTGACGACATAATTTGGATGCAAATTGCTCGAGTCGACTAGGATCCTGAGGCGCTGCCTCCTTTGGAGTTGGAGCCATTTCTTCTTCAACATTACAAATTGACAACTGAAGGACAGTGTTAGGTAGCTGGCTAGTTTATTCCGTCCTGAGACTATTTGAATTTGTTTGGTTGACGTTCGAAGCGAAACGCACATTTTAATAAGTCGGACCAAGCAACAAAGAAATGTATCCGGAAAACTCCAGTGGACTGAGGAGAACAACAACACCCAACAGCAACTCGCGCTGCACTGCACTGCGTATATTTTGACGCGGAAATCAAATCACGCTTTTCACGAATTTTGTTCCAAAAAAAGCTGTGCTCATGTTTTAGCACGCTCTTGCTCATGTACATGTACAGTTATTTGCCGGTTTTGAGGCGGAATTCGTTAGAATTTCACCTCGCTAACCCACCAAAATCCGAAAATTAATATACCTGGTCTTACAACATATCACTGTGGAGCGCCAGGGCATACATGTGGACAGTGGTCAAAGAGTCCGGTGTACCTTCTTACCGACCTGACAAAGACAACAACACTACTCACCGTTTCCAAGACGACGACCTTTGATGAGGTCTCGTGCATTGCCCAGCAGGCCCTGGTCGAAGTTACCTTTCCACTTCTCCATCCAGGTGAGGTGCTGAACTTTTTCCAACGGGGCTGGTAGTGGGTGCCGACCCATGGCCGGGGCAGCTGACGAACGCCTCGCATGGCCCGCCGTCGCATAGTCACACTCATGGTCCCTCTCATGGGGGTCCCTCACAAGGCGGTCCCTCGCATGGTCCCTCACATGTGGGTCCCTCGTATGGTCCCTCACATGGGAGTCCCACTCATGGTCCCTCACAAGGCGGTCCCTCGCATGGTCCCTCACATGTGGGTCCCTCGTATGGTCCCTCACATGGGAGTTCCACTCATGGTCCCTCACATGGGGGTCCCTCGAATGGTACCTCACATGTCGGTCCCTCGTATGGTCTCTCACATGGGGGTCCCACTCATGGTCCCTCACATGGGGATACCTCGAATGGTCCCTCACATGGGGATCCCTCGTATGGCCCCTCACGTGGGGGTCCCACTCATGGTCCCTCACATGGGTGTCCCACTCATGGTCCCTCACATGGGTGTCCCTCGTATGGTCCCTCGAATGGTCCGCTGAGCCGCGCCGCAGATGCTGAATGCCATGTGTTGTACGCGACAACAGAAGTTCCACTGGCCGCAAATGCACGTCGGCACTGCTTGCAGTAGGACCTCGGCCGGGAGCGACCGATGCCCGCGGATTCGGTGGATGGGTGACTGTGGACTGCGTTGAGCTGAGCAGTCGGCTAGCGCTCAGACCATGGCCATAGCCAATGCCAGGCATTGAATGTGTGCTGCAGTCGACGCTAGTGGCAGCACACAGAGGTGCATGCGTATCAGTATGCTTTGGCAAGTAGAAGCCGGGTTCCAGATGGGCGCCTGGCGGTGACGGCGTGTGGGAAGCATTCAGACCGAAAGCAGGCCGTGATGGAGCATGAAGCGTTGACTGCATGCGGCGCATACTCAGACCCGAAGCAGGAGGTTGTAGAGGTTCTGGAGGCGTACGAGTGAGTGTACGAAGCGTTGACGGTATGCTGCGTGCGTTCCGATCAGAAACATGCCGCGCGAGTTTGGGAAGAGGTGACGTTGTGGCAAGGCGCGGAGATTGTCGATCCACTGGCACTGGGCAGCTGAAAAGGCTGGACGCACTCCATGTGTCATCATCGGACTCACCGGGAGGGTTCTCATCCGGATATGCTACATTTCCAACTTCACCCGCCACCTGGGTGCTCCTGTAGGGCAAAGAGGCAGGGTAGAGCAAGATAGAAGAAATCCTTATTGATCATTAATTTTACTCTCCTGGAGATACAATCATACATTTCGCAGAAATCACTTCTAAACAGACGGCGAGAAGACAACAATTTTATAGCCACGATCAATACAGAACTGTCGGGTGCTGAAAAACGGAGCGCCGAAGAACAGCCAGGCTAGAATTACATCAAGCACAGCATGCCAGGGCATAAATGGTGACTGGACTGAGCATAGGCTGTAATACATGAACAATCAGAACAGTCTAGGCTAGCAGGCTGACCCCAGTTCTTCGGCGACCGACAGAAAGGTAGGTGAAGCTGAATCGATATGTGCAAACTGTATTCGTGCAAGATTAAATGATGGGAAATAAGTACAAGAAAAACGATGGAAGTAAGAAGGAGTAGCAAAGAGAACAACATGGATTCGAACAAATTCTCATACGACACTTATCAGGAACCTTCGTCTTGCACTCTAGCTGCTAGTATCGACAAGTTGCCCGTTCTAATTCTCATTGTTATAACTCACAATTGTATCTTTTTCATTGCTGTTGTTAGGCCAAGTAAGGAAAAACATTGACTGTCTGTCATCAGCACTCTCACCAAATAGTCGCCCTCCCGGCCAAATTACTATAATTATTTGTTAGTTCCGGTAAAACTGCACGCGATTTACGCTGTACTGTGTTTACAGCCTCTAATCAGGGTGGCTGTAGATCTGGAAAGGCAAAGTCTGCAGATTGAATCAGACACGTAGGTGCCATGGACTTGAAAAGTTAAAGAGATTATCAGCTGCCTTATTTTTTTGTTCTACGTTGGTTGTTTCACTTTTCCTTATTTGCATCCTCAAATTCATCTTCCTAGATGTTATTTGTGGCTGACGATTCATCTGCCTCACATAGCTTTATCCCACTCTCTGCAGAATGGCTTCATAAGGAAAAGCGAAGAAAGGCATGTCCAGGGGTTGCGAACATCTACCAAAAGAGTACTGAGATATTTCACGGCATGAAAGGCAGCTAGAGCAGTGCTTGATAGTGCTAACGAACGGCCTTCCAGATTGGAAGGTTCATGGATTTTAGTGCTAATTCCAAAGAGCAAACTTGTGCCCACATTTTTCCATGTTACAATTTCTCTCCTTGCCTCACCATCTGAGTTCAGTTGTGTTGGTTTCTCTTGATTAGTACAATGATGATACCTGATGACTTGATGTGTGTTGTACGAAAACTTGTTCGAATCCATATTGTGCTCTTCACCATTCCTTCTTACTTTCACCGTTAGTTAGTGCACTTAGTTTCCACCGTTTTACATTGCTCTTGTAGCAGTTGAGCACTCTTGTGTGGGGTAGTGCCTTTGCTGTTTGCATCATGCAGAGCTCACTGACTTGTCAGTTTGAGCACTCTGGCAAGGTACGTTCGGGCCTGGTTTAAATCTGGCTTTGAAAAAAAAAAATTTCATTGCTATCAGGTTCGGCCTCATTTCCTCTGTGCTGCGCTGACGAGTCAACGAAGGACGAAACAGTTCTGTCCGCAGATTGAGTATTGCACAAGTACATTTTCCACGTGTCAATTGAACTCAATTCATTTCTCAAGGTGCAAAGACTCCACTGTAGCCACCCACTAGACCCAACAATCTTCACATGTTAGTGATCGGTGTAGCCCAGAGACAGTTTGGAGAGCATCGCTTGAAGTACACCTTTGAAAAGATTTTTTGGTTGGAGGAAAGCAAATCAGCACACGAAGCACAGATGCCATATAATTTCGACTACGCCTTTTGACTAGGCTATTTTTCAAGTGCCATTTTTTCACAACGCTCTGACCGCCAAAGTGCCGGCTATAAGGACTTGCTTGCTACCTTGTTAATCACCATTGTATTCGACTTGAAGAGTAATGGTACGAAAGGCCTAGACGAAATTATATGGCTTCTGTGCTTCGTGTGCTTGAGGTACACCTATATTTTTTACCAAAATTGACGGTAAAAATAAAGGTGTACTTCAAGCAGTTGAGGACACATTCAGATGTTCTAGAAAGAAAACTCCTTCATAATTATCTGACACCTATCAGTATCATGTCTTACGGCTCAGATGTATTGCTTGCTGGAATCTTTTTGCTTATCTGCACGCAGTAGAAGGAGACGGTAAACAGAAACCCTAGAATGAACACACCCACCACTGTGAAGACAATGGTGGCCACCGTGGGTATGTTCACGGCCGTGCCAGTCTTCTTCCTATCCTTGTTCTTGGCTGAAGACGGACCAGCCACGGAAAGGTCAGCACAGATCCGAGCACAGCGGTAAGCGAGGGAAAACAGAAACACAGACACATACACAGACACACGCATGCAGACAGACCAACACACACACACACACACACACACACACATACACACATACGAGAGAGAGAGAGAGAGAGAGAGAGAGAGATAGATAGATAGAGAGAGAGAGAGAGAGAGAGAGAGAGAGAGAGAGAGAGAGAGAGAGAGAGAGAGAGAGAGAGAGAGAGAGCAAGAAAGAGAGTGAGAGAGAGAGGGAGAGAGGGACAGAGAGACAGAGAGACAGAGAGACAGAGGGACACAGAGAGAGACAGAGAGAGAGACAGAGGGAGAGAGGGAGAGACAGAGAGTAAGTTACATTTATAAAGACAGGTAAGTCTAAGAGAAAGACAGAGAGAGAGAGAGAGAGAGAGAGAGAGAGAGAGAGAGAGAGAGAGAGAGAGAGAGAGAGACAGATAGAGAGACAGAGAGAGACAGAGACAAAACAAACGGATTATTTATTTAGAAAGGAAAAGGACATAAGGATACGAGTTAAGAGTAACTCTCCATCACTGTAACTGGATACTATATACAGTCAGAAAGTGCTTACCTTCCCCTCTTTGTTCCTTCCATAACCTTGAACCTTCCAAGTTGGTAGGCTGTCGGTTAGCGCTACGGAGATGTGTTGAAGCTAGGTGTCAGGACGTCGAATGTCTCAGTACTCTTGTCAGTTTTGTGCCTAGCTATTGCACTTTCTGACTGTATATAGTATCCAGTTACAGTGATGGAGAGTTACTCTTAACTCGTATCCTTATGTCCTTTTCCTTTCTACATTTATTTATGGTTCAACATCCGAGTTTCGGATTATTTATTATTAGGGGATTATTTATTATAGGGGAAGTTCACCCTAAATTGAAAACTTCACATAACTTGTAGAGAAAATGCACTGATTCCAATGGTGAAGGTCCCAGTTTGATCGGAGCAGCCGTTCCCAAGTTATACTAGCTTGAAGTTTGCACTAAATATGACGTCAAAGAGATAGACTTTGTATGCAAGTAGATGGGGGAAAACAATTTCTTTCTTGTTTCTCTGTAACAATGAATTTCATACCGGAATTTTTTCCAGTCGGAATACCGGTGGGGTGCCATATGTCCCATACCGAAGGTTTACAAAAATCCGACTTCTTTGGGGAAGTTTGGGACAATGGGAAGCCAAAATACTGAAATTTCCCCATCTACTCCCATGCAAAGTCTATCTCTCTGACGTCATAAATCCGGCATCGTCTGGGCTAGTTAATGACGTCATTATGATGTCACCAAATTTTATGCAAACTTCAAGCGGGTGGCAGAAAACCGTTTTTTACTGGGAACACAGCCCGAAATAGTGGTTGCGACTTCGGCGATGATTTTTTTAGGAATGGGTTTGCTCGCATACTAGAGCTCGCGCTATTCCGCCGGCTTGACTTGACACTTGACCGACTCACGACTGCCATCCAGAGCACATTAGAAGTCCATCGAACCTTCGACTACGCAAACCTGCAAGAAAGCACCACTCCCTGCTCAATACGCAGTGTTTCGGGGAGTTCCCCCTCATCAGTTGAGCTTGAGTAAGCTGAGGAAGATTGTGCCTGAAGAGCACCACTTATATAGTGCTCTCCAGCCTACTCCAGCTCAACTGATGAGGGGGGAATTCCCCGAGACACTGTGTAGGTGGTAGATGCTGATGTACAGGGAGCAACTCGACCGACCAGAGATCTCGGCGTTAGCGTTGCAACCTGGCATCGAAAAGGGGGGGGGGGGGTTGCAGGGTCAAGTAGCAAAAATGATATTTTGGTGCGAGAAAGGATACCGAGCACTTGCTATGCAATGGAATGTGACTTGTCCTGAGCACTCCGCTTATCACTATGCACCACAGCAGCAAACTGGGAAACATTGCTTTTTTTAGACGATTGCAATGCCGTCACGTAGAGTGTATCTAGACTCCTGGGGAGCTAGTTGTCCATTGACCATCTGGTATGGACAGCAGGAGCGAGAATGAACCTTGAGGAGATGTTGGAATGATGAGAGCAAGGAGCATGATGAGAGCGAAATAGAATGCCCGGACCTTGTGGCCCTTGACGAGTCCCTTTTTCATTTCTCTTATCTCTTTTTCAGGTTTGGCAGTGGAGTAGTATCTTGATAGTCACGTGCACGGGATCATGATACCGTACCGTACTACGTAGTGGATACTTCGTTTACAACAAATCACAAGTGTGCGGGAATACAGAGAACGACAGAGAGATGAAAGGACAAGGCCAGCCAGGCAGGTAGGTACAGCTACAGTGCGTACGGTACAACTGGCATGCCGGACAGCGCGGCCAGATGAATGCATACATGTCACATAAACGGATATAATGACAAACAGTGGAAGGTGCATGCACTACACCGTACTGTTATTTGCCATGCCACCACGTGATTGTGTGCGTGTTCCCACATACATCGCCGCGCTAGTCGGGCACACTCATGACTGGAATCTTTGTTGTTGGATGCAGAAACAAGAGATGAAGCACTGGCTTTTCTGCAGCTAGCCTAAATCGTTTTCGAAGCAGTAAAGCCGAGTGCTGGAACGAGTAGCAAATTCGACTTGCTGTTTAATGACGTCTTCGGCGTGACCCGGTCAGAACATTTCTAGTTATTAGTTGATGATCCATCACCCCAAAGCTGTAGGTGTACTAACTGTCCGTGAAGCTGTTGACACAGGGATGTCGTTTAGCCTGCGCCGCCGCTGCCTGGTGTGTCTGTCCCTCTAGATGGCGATGACCCCATGAGCAAAATGTCGATGACAAACATGTCGATGAAGAGCATGTCGATGCAGCCGTGGACACGGGGGATGCCACTCAACCCTCCAACCTGTGGTGGATGTTCCACTCAAGAATCACACATACACAAGATGGTGATGAAGAGCACGAGTGGAGCCGAGGACTATCCTGCTGGAGACGTACGTTCACATGCACGAGTGCTGCCATGAAAATTGACAATCCAACGGCATCTCTAGACGAAGCTCCATTGGCAAGACGCTATGATGCTAATGTGGCGGGTGCTTTCTCGACACAACTTGGATGTGCGGCACGCACGCCTTGGAGAAGTGAATGTTTCATAAATGTGTATCATCACTGGTATAAATCAATACAGAGCCAGGGCGATCCCGTCCACGCTGCCCATGCTGTATTGGAAGCCATTTGAGCGGGCAATTCCAAGCCCGGAGGGTGAATCTATTTCCTCGTCAGACACTAAAGTGTGCGCAGAACACGCTTCCTGTATCCGCCCACTGGCGTGTACGCGTCCATGATCAGGAAAGGATTTAGGATGGCAACTTACCAAAACATTGTTCAAAACGATATGGAACCGGACGTAAAGTGTTTGCAGAGTGGCGGGAATGAGCTTGTTGCCTTAGGATTTCTCCACGTAAATGAGACAAGAGGACGCAATCTAGCTTCTGACAGATTATGCTCGATGTACCTCAGTTCCGCGAACATAAGTCACACTTTTATCACATGAACTTCAGGGCCAACAAAGACTCACAATTGAGCATGATTAGTACTGAAGTGAATATATCTTTTCTACTTGTCCGTGAACTCCTACGCAGCCACGTACATATTTAAACTTCACTTCTCAACTCCAATAACGGTCTCTTCACTGCCATTCAAACCAGGGTAATTCATTACCCTGGTGATGGGCCAGGCCCGGAAATTTGGTGTACTGTTAATTTTAATTTTAGTTTGAATCGCAGTGAAGAGACCGTTATTGGAGTTGAGAAGTGAAGTTTAAATGTGAATATAGCTCAACTATAATTTATGACTTGGAACTAGAAATCGGGGGGGGGGGGGGGTTGCGACTTACAATCGGGGAAAGACGGAATTCAAAATGCCTAAGTACAGCTGAAGGCAAAGTCAAATACAGTAAAACCTGCCACTAAAGACCACCGTGACTAGCGACCAGCCTGGTACTACCGACCACCGTGACTAGCGACCAGCCTGGTACTACCAACCACCGTGACTAGCGACCAGCCTGGTACTACCGACCACCGTGACTAGCGACCAGCCTGGTACTACCGACCACCGTGACTAGCGACCAGCCTGGTACTACCGACCACCGTGACTAGCGACCAGCCTGGTACTACCGACCACCGTGACTAGCGACCAGCCTGGTACTACCGACCACCGTGACTAGCGACCAGCCTGGTACTACCGACCACCGTGACTAGCGACCAGCCTGGTACTACCGACCACCGTGACTAGCGACCAGCCTGGTACTACCGACCACCGTGACTGGCGACCAGCCTGGTACTACCGACCACCGTGACTAGCGACCAGCCTGGTACTACCGACCACCGTGACTAGCGACCAGCCTGGTACTACCGACCACCGTGACTAGCGACCAGCCTGGTACTACCGACCACCGTGACTAGCGACCAGCCTGGTACTACCGACCACTTCGCCAGGCACGGATGGTCTCACATTCAAAATGCCCTGTGACTAGCGACTACCTGCTGAACGCGACCAGCGACTGCCTTTTCTTGTCCCAAAGAGGATTTTTGACCCGTAACTAGCGACCGCGATGCAGGAAATCAAAATGTTGCTCGAAGCTCCTTCTTGAAATTTTGCTGATTTTCTATGGTCCTGAAAGGAATCTTTCGATACTACAGCTGAACAAATGAATGCAGGTCAGTTTTGACTGACTGTGGAGTCGGTGTGGACTGTACTACACCTGTCAAAATTTCAAGCGCTGTCAAGAATAAACATGATAGGAAACGTTTTGGAGAGCGCATCGAAAGCGCCTCCGATCGATGTTACTACTCGGAGGAGCGCTCTCTGATCGATGTTACTACTCGGAGGAGCGCTCTCTGATCGATGTTACTACTCGGAGGAGCGCTCTCTGATCGATGTTACTACTCGGAGGAGCGCTCTCTGATCGATGTTACTACTCGGAGGAGCGCTCTCTGATCGATGTTACTACTCGGAGGAGCGCTCTCTGATCGATGTTACTACTCGGAGGAGCGCTCTCTGATCGATGTTACTACTCGGAGGAGAAACGAAGACTGAGGGGCTATGTCACCCCAGTCATACAGAAGAATCGACGATGGCATCAAGGAATCCAGAAACAAAGCAGCACCGCAAGGTCCTGATGCTGAAAGATCGCGTTCAAGCAATCCAGAAGTTACAAAAACTTGGAAAAGGACAGTCGGTACGATTAATCGCATGAACAAATTTGAAGCCCAGCGCAAAATGAGACTTCCACAGGGAACGTTTGACTCCTGGCTTCAGAAGTAGCAGCTGAATTAATATTAACTTTGATGTCTGCAAAAAATAATCTTCTCTCTCCATCTCTCCGCCTTTCTCTCCAAGTGTTGTTGGACCTGAAATAAGAATGGCGTAGCGCTAGTCCTGGGGAATTGTATTTGCTGCATTTTTACATACATATCATATAATGGGATACATTATATGGTCGCGCGGTGCAAACCTCTAACTAAAGACCACCTGCTACTAAAAAACGCTTTTGCTGGCACCAAGGGGTGGTCGTTAGTCACAGGTTTTACTGTAGCAACATTGCTCTATCCTGAACTATCCCCCCTGAACCATCCCCCCTCCTCCCCCCCCCTTCCCCGCCATGCAGCACTGGTACTTACGAGCAGTGGACCCGGAGCATTGCTTGACAAAGACCAGGTCAATCTGGATGCTCCTGCTGGCAAGCATCATGGCAGAGTTCCACGTCTTGTAGCAGATGAACGGATCTGGAGGAACGGTTCTGTTCAGAGTAACAACATTGAAGCTGATCAGCAGCCGAATGTCGGTGAAACCAGCAATGTTGGTGGCGCAGGCCAGGTTTACGTCAAGAGCTGAACAGAAATAAAATGTATAGAGCTGTAGCCACACTAACGTATCTACGTTAGCGGAACAGCCTCGTACCGTAAGTCCACAAATATTCGGCACATATTTATTTTCGGCTATTTTTGGTCGGGCATATTTGGCCAAACATTTGTTTTACAAGGTTCAGTGCAACAGAGTTTACAGGAAGCAGCAGTACAGGCCGAAAATTTAATGTGGCCGAAATGTGTGTTTAGCCCTGGGAGGCGGAAATTTGAACGGGCCAATAATTTGTGGAATTACAGTATACGGGCAAGCAAACATGACAAAACATCAAATTCAATAGAGTGAAAGAAGGAACTCAAAACGGAACTCAATGCGAACCTGTACACATCTGCATTATCCTCATCATCTTCATCTTCATCCTCATCATAATCATCATCATCACCAACCCATCCGGGTTGCTGTGGCAACTTGCTCCCAAGACCACCGATAATCTGGTGGGTGGTCAGGTCCTTCCAGGTACTGTAAGACATGTTTTTCTAACGAGTTGCAAATTTAACGATTGCCCAAAATCCATTGGTTACCGAGAACAGACGACAACGATCTTGCAGTCTTCAGGCAAATACGCACATATCACATATGGGTCCAAACGGCCTCAACAGAACTTACTATAACGAAGAAATGTCACCCGTTAAAATGTTAGATTTTCTTCCTCGTTAATTATTTTACATGTCTTACAGTACGTGTTTATTGATGCGCCGCTCTAGCCTTTAGTCAACCAAGACCTTTCCCGACAAACACAGCGGGTCCAGTAAGGTAGCAGCCTTTCCCCAGTTACACAAAAGGACTTGCCCACTACCCCTGAGAGGTGCCACCCTTAACCGTACGTTTGGGCTCTTCCGCCCACAATCTGACAAGCTCCGCTGCGACCCAGAGCCTGGAGCAAACTGGTTTTCAGGCGCCAGAAACTCGGCCTTCAAACCTTCAGATTTTCGTGAAAACACTCCCGCCACGTGAAGGCACCTGGTCGGTCTTTGATTGAGAGGAAGCTCTATATTGCGCTTGGTCGTACGCAGCATTTGAACAGGAGTGGGCGCTCATCTCCATCTCCCATTGCAGCCATTCTCAATCCAAAGTGGGAGCTACCCGATTTTCCGGAGTCTAAGCCGCACTGGAGTATAAGCAGCACTGGAGTATAAGCCGCATTGGAGAATAAGCCGTGGTGGAGTATAAGCTGCACTGCGGTATAAGCAGCACTGGAGTTTAAGCCGCACCCAGATTTTTTTGTCACGAAATGCAGACATTTACCCCATTTATCACAGCTAGTTTGAGTGTTTGACCATTATAGTGTAAGCCATGCCGACCTTTTTTGGCCTCTCGGAATAGATTTCTTAAAACAAATTCAGTAGTCCGGAATTATTGGAGAAATGGTTCTCCCAATGCAATGGGTGAATTTTGCTGTGATAGCAGCAAAGAAGAATAGCGACATCCGTTCGTGCATGGATGCATGCCCAGCCAATCAAGCCAGCACCAGAAAACGACATCCAGAGTCAGCATCAGCAACAGCGGGAACTGTTGCATGATGTGTTCGAAGGTTCACCAGAAGCGGGGATTTCACACTGTCAGCTTACCCTTATTTGGCAACTTCACTCTTTTCTTCCGTGTCGTAGCTTGGGAAGGGACCAAAACGCACACTCTGTGCATCAACTTAGAACGCGACCGAAAAAATCTCTCTGATGTCGTGACCGCGAAACTGGCCCACACATCTGCCATTAAGGTGAAGAACACCGGTGCTAGTACCGTGTTCCCGGTGAATAAGCTGCTCTTGGAACACCAGTAATTCAGCCAAAAAAAGGCTTAAGAGAGCATGTCTGAGAATACCAAAGTATGTGTGCAAGTGGATCTCTCCGATTTTGCTCAAAATTTGCAGGTAGGTTCCCTTTGGGGTGTGGATCGATTGCGAAAAGCCCTTGAAAAATGGCCGAAATATCACATTATGTATGGGTCTAGAAACGAGTCACGCCACAGCGTATCCGAACAAGCTATGAACAAAACTCCGTCAAGCCAACATTGCCTCACCTTAGAAGAGTTCCTGGAGCAGTACCGCTTAGCCACGCCAGGATCCCAGAAGACGAGGTCCATCACCCCCTGACGCCACAAATAATCGTCTTGAAAATAGCCAATTTACAAGCGCTGGCAAAACAGCCAGCTATGTCCTCAATTGGCCAGAATTATACACCGGCAGATAGTAGAACACCTCTTCTAGCGCTGAGGACATGTCCCCCATCTTCCTTTTGGGGTTTTCTTGCAATAAACTTTTTTGAATTTTTCCACTCGACCATGCTGTAATACGGCCAAAGTCATACCTGCGCAGGAAAGCTCGCCCCTCCGCGACGTCTCCTCAGCAAATTTCTACTCCAACACTACTCTCAAGGCCGCAGAACAAAGTGTATTGTTGACTCTGACAAGGAAAAGCAGCGGTGATCACTTGTCACTCCAAACGACAAGCTTCTCCTTGCGCCACCAATAATTTTTTGTGCGACTGTTGATGGAAAAGTGACTGAAGGCATGAGCGCAGTTTTTGAATTTTACTGCAAGAGGCACGGTGAAATCACGTGCCTTGTGACGCAAGAATGCCAAGTCGCGTGGATCACGGCTCACGAGATTTCAGAGTCACCTTTGTTAAGCGTGCTTGTTACTCGCCTTGAACGCCCGTTGGTCTGGAAGTGATCACACTTGTGTTGTAACTGCGCTCAAGAACACGCTGACCGTGTTGTAGGCCTACGAACAGGGACTGGGACTTTCCCTGACCATGTAGGTCGAAAACCAGTGAAATGATGATGAAATCACATTCTTTATGACATTAGAAATCTGTCATGCAGTTCACGCGACAAGTGCGTGCAGCCAGTGCTGCTCGCGCGCCAGTCAACACAAAGCGACCAAACTAGCAGCTTTCGTCGAGCATCGACATGAAAACAAGGGACTTTTACTGTTGGACTACCGTATTTCCACAAATAGCCGGTCTACTATTTTTTCAACCTCGTCCTAACCTGGCCTTATAATCGAGGACGGTCTTGTATTCAAGGATGGTCTTTTATTCTTTTAACCCAGTTTGACCCCGGTCTTCTATTTTTCGCCACACAGTTTTAACCCCATTCTTCCATTTTCTTCTACACAGTTTGAGCACGATCTTCTACTTTTACCCACAGTTTGAGCACGGTCTTCTATTTTCTACACAAGTTTGAGACTCATTTAGTTGGCCCGGTCTTCTAATCGGAGACGGTCTTTTATTTTTTCAATCGCCCCTTGCCCCGGCCTTTTATACGAGGAAGGCGTTGTATACGAGGACGGCGTTTTATTTGCGGAAATACGGTATGTTCGGGATTGCAGGAGGTAAGTGTGAAAGATGAATAACTCTCCACACTGTACGAGGGGCATACTTCAACGGCTTGCTGCCATTGCAACACTCCTAGGACAGTTTGTGGGGGTTTTCAGCAGATCAAGCAGGAAATGCAGCTCATCTTACCTCTGCCATAATGGTCTGTTCCGAATAGCGTTCCAGCTGGCCAGACACGTTCGCGATCGATGGCCACGTCTCGTGATCCGGGAAACATCATCCTACGTCACAGAGCACGCGATCTCACCGTGCCTTTTGCAATTCAAAAACTGCGCTCATGCCTTCAGTCAATTTTCCATCAACAGCCGCACAAAAAATTATTGGTCGCGCAAGGAGAAGCTAGTCGTTTGGACTGACAAGTGATCACCGCTGCTTTTCCTTGTCAGAGTCAACAATACACTTTGTTCTGCAGCCTTGGTAGTAGTGTTGGAGTAGAAATTGCTGAGGAGACGTCGCGGAGGGGCGAGCTTTCCTGCGCAGGTATGACTTTGGCCGTATTTCAGCATGGTCGAGTGGAAAAATTCAAAAATGTTTATTTCAAGAAAACCCCAAAAGGAAGATGGGGGACATGTCCTCAGCGCTAGAAGAGGTGTTCTACTATCTGCTGGTGTATAGTTCTGGCCAATTGAGGACATAGCTGGCTGTTTTGCCAGCGCTTGTAAATTGGCTATTTTCAAGACGATCATTTGTGGCGTCAGGGGGTGATGGACCTCGTCTTCTGGGATCCTGGCGTGGCTAAGCGGTACTGCTCCAGGAACTCTTCTAAGGTGAGGCAATGTTGGCTTGATGGAGTTTTGTTTATAGCTTGTTCGGATACGCTGTGGCGTGACTCGTTTCTAGACCCATAAATAATGTGATATTTCGGCCATTTTTGAGGGGTATGCAAATTTCAAGGTTCCCTTCAGAAATGTTTTCAAGGGCTTTGCACAATCGATCCACACCCCAAAGGGAACCTACCTGCAAATGTTGAGCGAAATCGGAGAGATCCACTTGCACACATACATTGGTATTCTCAGACATGCTCTCTTAAATGGCTTATACTACGGTGGCCAAATTCACGGTGATACATTCGGTCGGTGCCTGTATTCCGTGACAAAATTTTGTTGCACAGTACAATCCAGAGTTGCTTTTACTCCGTAAAACACTGTAAGTATTTGTTTTCACGGTTCGCGTGAGACTCGGCTGGAAACCGAGTTTTCCGCATCCGCAGGAACGCCACCACCCTTCAAGGATCAAGGCGCAGATGCAGCTTCTAAAGCGGTGGGAGGTGAGTAGATCAGCTCACCAGAAAGTGGTCAAAGATCAAAAATCCCATTCACTGCATCCATGTTCTCCTCGATATTGTAAGTATGTCTGTATGTATATCATGTATACAAAAGTAAAGGACCTACAAGTTACAAATTATGACTAACAATAAAAGAGAGAAAAAACCTCTGCACAATATGATCTTGGCAGGCCTACCTACCAGTGAAGTTGGAGTCAACAAGACATCCATAGGGTGCAATGCTTGGCATGGCTTCCGACACTATACTGCTATTCTTGACTTGAACTGCAAGTTTGTAACGCACACTTTCCTGAACAAAAAAGAACAAAACACATACACAAACACGCACATACCATTAATATGGTCAACAGTTGAATTTCTCAGCCCGGATTCTTAGCACACAGGACAAAATACCCTGATGGTCAGAGCTGCCTCACACCGATTTCGGGAGGCTTTCGTTACATGCTAGTTTCACGCAAACCGGTGATCCACAGGTTGTTTGAAGTTTAGCCTTGGGACCGTGTTGCGTGTGAACTCCATTGCTGTAAGTCTGCAAATTTTCAGCCAATTCAGATGTCGGCCTCCGAGAGCTAAAACACATTTCCACCACATTTAATTTTCGGCCTGCTCTGCTCCTGTCTGTATGCACTGTCACACTTGAAAAACAAAATTTTGGCGGCAAAAAATTCTCAGCCAAATATGACCGGGTCGAAAATAGCTGAAAAATAAATGTGCGCCGAATATTTGTTGACTTGCAGTACGAAGTCCACACTCTACCTTTGTGTGCATGATTTGCGTTGGCTTAACGGTAGTCGAAAAGCTTCGCCTACGGCCATACCAAGCCTTCATCATCCCATCATCCCTGTACTGCTGTACAACTCTGGTACGTGGGCGGTTACCAAACAGCTCAGGAGCGACTGGACTCTTTCCATCGGCGTCAACTGAGGTCGCTTATAGGCATCAGGTGGCCTCAGACAATATCGAACAACGCACTATACGCCCGATGTGAAAGCCAGCCGATCAGACACACCATCAAGATGTTGCGATGGAAGCTATTCGGACATGTCCTCCGTCTGTCCGACAGCACACGAGCCATCCAGGCAATGGTCAGCTACTACACTAGCAAGGACCTCAAGGGCTGGAGAGGACAGCCGAGGATCAGCCTGCCGGGTACACTATCTGCTGACTTGGAGGCAGCAGATGCAGGAAAGCTGAGTAGTCTGGAAGACTTGCACGGAATCAGGAAGATTGCAGCGGATAGGGCCGAGTGGCGAGCTCTGTGTCAACGGGTGACAGAAAAGGATCTGTAAGGGACGGATGACACTGCAATATCTGACTTCTTCTCAACATACATGTAAACTTGTATGTTTGGATGATGCCTTTGTTGCTGATCCACCACACCATCACTCAACGCTTTCTACTGCTTTGTTCACCCACCACTGACTTTATACTTCTGCAGCTCCTTTGCCCCTTTCCTTCTGATTTGTGCTGTTTTGGTTCTGATACAGTGATCGTTAGATTTTATTTCCCACAGCGTATCATTTGTTATCCTCCTGCTTTCGTTGTCCAGCACAAGCGAAGAAGTGGACCTATCGGTCGAGTTGAACGCGAAAATGCACATAATAATGATAATCAACGCAATAAATAGGGTAAGCTGCGCACTCCGCACAAACACCATTAGCAAAACTTGTTTTCATGTAAATAAAGAAGCTTGTTCCTAAACGTTTTCGTCGCCATCTCATCATGCATTACTTGCATTGTGCGTATACTTCCTCCGCGTCATCGAAATTGTCGCAGTTTGACTAGTGACTTGTCACTTGTTACTGACAACTCCATAAACTAAGCCATTCAACACTTATTACACAGTATGATAGTCTGAAGACTAGAGTAACGTTCCAGAACAATTGGACTGAGAGTTTTCATACAGAGATGAAGTCCTCGTCGTCGCTGATGTCAATGGACGCAAAAATATCGTTCCGAAATATTTCAAGGAAGGTTGAAAGTTGGTCGCGCCTCACCTCAAACGATTTGACTTTCTCCTAAGGACAAGAGCTGCTATGGTTGTCGTCTGCTAGCTCTGGATGATTTCTACTTCACCACCAACGAAGCCTAGTAAGAATACACGATCGTTGCGAGGTCGGTTGATTACCGTCGGCGGAATCACCTCGATCTTGAAAATAAGCTTTTTTTAGCCGTGGCATGCCCACAGCTCATGCAGGTAAGTGTAGTATCACGTCCAGCGCGCCCTCTTTTTCAGCATCACTGGTATACCATGGTACGGCACCTGCGCGTGCATCACTAGCACTACGTGTAGAGTCTACACGGCTCTTGCAGGTACAATCATGTACTACTAGTACTGAGTGTCTCGGCCAGAGCGACACATTTTATCGCAGTTGCAGGCATTTAGTTTGCCGACCCCTCGATGTTTCTCCAAGCGCTGCCACTTGTTCCACGAAGTCATTCTCACCCCAGCTAAGGTAAAACAGTGATGGGGCTTGAGTGAATGGCCATAAGCACGAGAAATGTGCAGGCTGCAACGCCTGACTGATCTCAGCAAGTCGAAATTACCATCGCAGCGACATCAGCGAAGAAATTCCGTCTAGTTCAAAAATTCCAGCTTCCAATACCAGAAAATAGAACTTTGCCGTCACCCTATACTGATGACTATCGCCTATGTCCGATTCCTTGCCTCTGGTACGAGTGCTGGTGAGTAAATACCGCGTTTTATATCAAAAGTCAAACTGCGACAATTTCGATGACGCGGAGGAAGTATATATATATTGAGTTTAGAGCTATTGTTGATTTGCCAGTAATCCTCTGATGAGATGGCGACGAAAACGTTTAGGAACAAGCTTCTTTACTTACATGAAAACAAGTTTTGGTAATGGTGTTTGTACTGAGTGCGCAGCTTACTCTATTTATTGCGTTGATTACATTTTTATCAATTAATGGCAGTCATACGTTGCATTTCTCGCCGGCCGAGTGCAGCGAGAAAACAGTTTTCAGTTGCAAATATGGCATCTGGTGTGTTCTTTATTGTCGCTTCTTTTCCTGACTTCTTCAGCAGTTTTGAGTCTCACCAGTGTCCCTGCCCTCCCACCCTTCATTTCTGTGCATATTATCATTGCTTTTTATCACTGTTTGCCGTGATGTGCTTGCCATGCCTACATGATGCCTAATCGCCATTGGGGGTAAACACCCGTTTTTTTCCCTCACAACTGCGTCCGTCGGCTTGAGGGTTTTTTTCCCGGCTGGCTCGGTCCAGGAAAATTAATCTGACCGTCCCAAGTGGTTCTGCATCATGGCCTATTTCTGCTATCCACTGGCAAGCCTATTCTATCTGAGACACTCTGTTCTCAGTCCTTGCTTCCATACCTCACTCGTTATCCGGTTCATATCTGGCTGCGACCAACTACCCTTCACTTTGTGCGTTGTCGCTATTGCTGTCTATGTCTCTGTGTATGCCAGTATATGTGGAGTGAGAAACTCAGAATACTCACTGGCGTCAGAAGGGTGGTAGATCCAGCTATCTGAGGTACACTACACTTTCTGGGAGGGGTGGCTGCGCTAAACATTTTCCAAAATTGGAGACCAAATCAGTGCTTTTGATTGATTCACAGGGTACCTGGTGGCAAAGAGTGGTGCGGTCAATACCATAGTGACCGTAGCGTGTCCAACACCCGTCCTGACACACACATGCATGCTACTCACCATTCCGCCTCTGTTCCATTCCAGTTTGATGGTGTCGTGTCCGGGCAAGAAGTCCAGTATTCCGTTGGGGCGAGTCGATTCCGCCGTGCGTGATCCGTTTTCCAGGAGGTAAATCTCTCCTGGGAAAAGAGGCAGCACAAATGACAGACAGAGGCCAAAAGAACGCAACCTGAGTGAGTTTCAGTGCAGGGCTGTCGTAACTGGTGTGGCAGATTCGGCTTAAAATGCACCAATAGTTATATCCTGCGATTTGTAAGCCGATATCTCGCTGAAGTGGGTAATGCTGTGTTCTAGACTCGGAGTTGTGACATACTCTGTAACACGTCCTTTGTGCCTTTGTCTGTAATAGTGCTCCACATTATTATGTTGAGAACTCTCTGCTGGGCAAAGGAAAATCCCCCTTTGTAGGACCGCTGCCTTTCTGGTTCAGCACTCTACCAGCCGTCAGCAGCAGTGGAAGAGATAGGAGGACTGGACACGGACTATTCAGCCAAGAGACACAATCATGCTGTGTAGAGCTGCAGCCTATGCTACACGTGAATGGATTTGACCATCCGTCACACGTGTCTGTGAGCTTTGACGGCACATGGATGCGCCGGGGTGACTTTCCTGGGTTTGGCGACCAAACATTGATTACTCAAACAAATGCTTCACAGTACTCCAGAGAATATGGTAGTCATCCTCCACACATGGCCTCAAGACTAGGTCTCTGGTCCATATCCTTCTGGTGAGGTCATCCACACATTGAATCCATCTTGATCTCTTCTTGCCTTTTTGATGAAACATGATGAAACAGTGCAAGTGCATGAGGAGGTGGTGGTTACGAGGAAGGAGGTGAGCGCTGACAACACCGTCCAAGTAACCACATTCACAACAAAAACGTTCAAGTACATTAACAGTGAGCAGTATACTAATGTACACATGTTCCAGGGAGTTGAGAACAATAAGGAGGTGGTGGTGGTGAGAAGAGACCTCCTCGAGGATGGCCTGGTCAAGGCCATCACCTTCACCACCAGGATATACATTTACAATAGCGGTGAGGAAATAACACACATTCACATATTGAATGGCCTCAAGCGAATGTTCCTGGTTCGAGTCCTGGTGGTGAAGTCATCCACGCATGGAATGGCCTCAAGCGTAGGTCCCTAGTTCGAGTCCTGGTGGTGAGGTCATCCACACATTGAATGGCCTCAAGCGAAGGTCCCCTGTTCGGGTCCAGGTGGTTAGGTCATCCACACATGGAATGGTCTCAAGCAAGGGCCACTAGTTCAAGTCCAGGTGGTGAAGTCATCCACACATTGAATGGCCTCAAGCGAAGGTCCCTAGTTCGAATATTGGTGGTGACAGTCAAGGTGTTCTTCAGACTTTTCCAGTTTGCATCTTTAGTGACCAAACAGTTATTGCGCACAACACACAGAATGTGGTGCCAGTGATTGGAGGCGTTGACAAAGCATTGCATATTGCAAGGTTTGGGAAAGCAAACAAGACAGCGAGATGGTCCCAGGAAGCGGTGTAGTTTACCACCTGGAAGTCTGCAGCACACGTTCGCAGGTCCTTTACCGAAACTAATGCCACACCTGTATCCAGACTGCAGCAGCAGGAATGAAGATCTCTTAAAATCGTTCTGAGGCTCTCAATGGCCTTCGCTATACACCATACATTGGTGACGGTGATTCGTTTCTGAAATGAACTAAATTCCAGCCCCCTGCCCTCAACACAAAGTGCCTTCGTCTTCTTCATATTTATTTTCCCACTACCAACATTTCGTACCCTGTCGCCAACTGCTCAAGAGAGAAAATGGCTTCCTGCAGGTGTTGTTCTTCATTTTGCCACTGATTTCCCCGAAACGTGCGCTCTTCCCATTACTCGTCTTCTGTTTTTCCTTGCCTCTCTCTCTGTTGTTCGCATTCCTGTCATTGGTCAAGCTTGCCCACTTCAATGGTTTATTGCAATACTCCCAACAACAAGACTGAATAGCTAGGGCCATCTGGGCATCACTCTGCCACAGTTGCTCAACAGATACGGAAATGCCCAAGCACGTGTCCGGTCCTCCATGTCTCAACTCTTGGTGTGGCTAGCAATGAGAGAAAACTGTGTCAGGGAAGGCCTGCCGGCATCATACTGCCTTGCTGAAGGCAGTCATGGATGAACTGAAACTGGCGTACCAACGACCGGCAGAGAAGGAGCTACAATACTAGAACATTGCACTGGATCAGCCACGGAAAATGAGAACGAGATCCTGAATGGCATGATCTGGTACCTGTGCGGCTCATGCATGTGTAGTGGAACCTGCCCTAGCCGGACGCAGCAAACCAGATGCAGCGGAAACTGTCCCCGTATGACAGGATTCCGCTTGATCCAGCCTAGGGGTGCAAGTTTGATCCACAGCACGTCTGTTCAGGGAAATTTGTCCGCTTTTTTAAAATACAGGGATTCCAAGGGTTGGTATAGTGTCTGGCAAACTAATGCGTCACAGTACTCCAGAGAGTACGGTAGTCATCCACACATTGAATGGCCTCAAGAGTAGGTCTCTGGTTCGAGTCCTGGTGGTGACAGTCAATTTTTTCTTCAGACTTTTCCCGTTTGCATCTTTCCCTCAACCCAATAAATACATCAGCACATTCTACAGACCCTGGCGATGCAGAGCGGGACTAGTGCAGAACTGAGTGCCCGAGCCACTTCACGTTTGCCTACCTTGCACAACCTGATCTTACACACACCTGCTGACATTGTAACCTGCTCCTTGCTGGGGGTTATGGCAGCTTGAAGAGGACACCATTCTTAGTATATTTATTATGCTCCTACCTCAGTTGTCCGGACACCGAAGTTACGGACGCGGCGGTCTATAGTGCACCCTTTGGGCGAGTGGTTGTGGAGATACACCGTATTTCCCCGATTATATGTCGCACTCGATTATAAGTCGCAACCCTTTTTTAGGTTTAAGCCACGGTGCTACAATATACTTACATAGGTAGGATTTTACACTCGATTGTAAGTCGCACCCCCTTCTTGCACCCCCTTCTTGACCCTTCAAGTTTAGTGTATAAAGCTGCGACTTATAATCGCGGAAATACGGTAAGTAATCTTTAGCCACTTTTTGTGGAAATAGTGATGCCATGTGCCATACTCATGACCCTTCTTCATCACAATGTATGTGCTCACTGAGCAATACAATCCTTTAGTCTTCTTTTTTCTGTTTCAACTTAATCCTCCCTGCCCGATCTCCCTTTGGTGCGTCCATCGAGCTATGAAGCCGAGACCTCTGGTCGGCGGAGCTTAATGAGCCCCACCACCGCACTCCATTATTCACCCCAGTGTCTGGAGACATGTGGATTTAGTAGAAAAAAGAAAGAAAAAAGAAAACTCGGAGTTACGGACATTTAAAGGTTATGGACGGTGCCCGGTCCCGGACTGCCCGGATAATCAAAGTATGAGCGTATACTATGAGCGTATAGTATGAGCGTATACAGTGGCGTCGGAAGGTATTTTAGTGTGGTACGGTCAGCCATCTGAAGTACAAGATATTCGTGGGGGAGGGGTGGCTGAGCAAACGTTTTGGAAATTTAGAGTCCAGATCAATGTATTTTATTGATTCACGGGGTAGATTCTACCTGGGGCAGAAAGTGGTACGGTCAATACCGTAGTAACCGCACCGTGTCCGATGTCCCTGGTATAGTACAACTTTCCATTCTCAGCACACACTCTCCCGGCAATCAGCGTCCACACAATGTAGATTTCGGTCACATCCCTGCACAGGAACTGAGCTGAGCGCCAGTGTTCAAAACCTCAACGGATTTCAGCAGGATGAGACCCCAAACACTTATCTTCACCAACATATCCAAGCTTTTTATGATGTAAACTGTCAGGAAAGTCGTCTGTCAGAAGAGTGAAAACGATTACTAACCAATCAGGGCTCCAACCTTGCTTTCCACACAAGGGGGTTGCCTCAGGTTGGAGTCCGGGTAGGTTGGCTTCCCTTTTCTCTTTTCAAACAGTTCACAACCCGGACTGGATTTAAAAAAAAAACATTTTCAATCGGCCGTGAAAGCTCTGCAACGCATGTACACAAGCAGGGCATAGATTAACGGCCGAACATTTTCCGGCCATTTTCGGCTGGACGTTTCCAATTTCGCAGGACATAGTGTACGGTCAAAAAAGTAAAAAAAAGAGGAGGACCTTTCGACCTTTTTATGCAGAGTTGGGCTTTCTCCGTAGCGTCGTGCCAAATGTGACTTGTATATCGTACAACTAACACGTACACCGTAGTCTCAAGCGTAGACTTCGCTATATTTACTTGATCCGCCCGCAGCAACGCATTGTTGCTACAGTCAATTCAGATCCGTCCACATAATGAGTCATTGTGAATATACTTCAGTACTACTAAAAAAAAGAAAGAAGAAACACCCTAAAAATGTGTTGTGGAAAATGTCCGGGCATGTCCGGACAGATTTCAAAACGGAAGGACATTTGTCCGAGCTAAATGAAATCCAAAAGCTATGCTCTGCACAAGCATGCGTACACACACCTATACCAGGCGCGTACCCCGCATGGGGCATGGGGATCAGCTACACCTCTCTATGCACACACACACACACACCACACACACACACACACACACACACACACACACACACACACACACACACACACACACACACACACACACACACACACACACCTACCTTGAACCATGTTCTATAATTATGATATATACGCCCATCGCAAGAGAAGCACCAAATCTGCAAATGCACTGGATTGCACCCACAGATGTTCTGATAGCAAAGATAGCCAACAAGATCTGAATGACACAGGTCAAGACTCTTAGATAAACCTTGTTTTTGTTCAAACATGCTGTTGCTTGACAGCATGTTACAAGGTGGAGGACATGTGTTTGGAAACAGTGACCTTTCTACAACCATCCAACACCAAGGTGGATGGTTGTAGTAAGGTCACTGTTTCCGAACACGGTGACGGTGTCCTCCACCTTGTTTCATGCTGTCAACCAACAACAGATCAAGACTAGCACCAGATATCTGCTTGAACCACACAAGTGGCGAAGCCATGTGAATTCTGCTCTTGACCTCATTTTGAAAATTGCTACTCGAAGTACGTCACTCCATACACACCCTCGGCCGCTGCATGGTGTAAGCGCATACGTGCACACCAAAGAGTTCTCCACAACACAAGTTTCAGAAAGCCCTAGCAAACATGGCCTTACAGAGAACTTCGGAGAACTTACTGTCGCTAACACCAGGTAGATAGCGAGACACGAATGTTTGTGCCAGCCGTATATCCACACCAACAGCGCAGTTCGCTGCCATCAGGCTGACTAGAAGAACTGAGCGCACACTGCAGCCGCCCGGTCCTCCGTACATCTTGTGCCCAGAGTCCTCCCGTTGCCGGCTCATACCACCCGGAACAAGGCTTGCTAGCAAGTAGCAAGTCTTGAGAACACGATTCACCTGCTTCCGCTATCCGTATTCGCCACAGACCGGTGCAAGCGGCTAAAAACTGAAACAGGCAGATGGCGGCAGATGATACAATTACAAGCACGGGTGCAACGAACAGGATTTAGAACTGGTTCGGGAACACCGACAAGATTCGGCTACCTCTGCCCTTTCGGCTTTCCGCTAAGGCGGACGACTGTCGAACTGATAGTGATAGCAGACCACTTCAGTAACACACGAGTGGCAGGGTGCACACATCTGCACGGAGAAAATGCTACGAAGACACTAATCTAGAACGTACCGTTAGGGCGCCGGTATGTATTTGTGAGACTTTCGCCCTGGTCTTCAACGGTGTCGCTGTGAGCTGAGTGAAAACTAAAGAGAATCCAGAGCCATGGCCTGAGTACTGGCCGTCTTTCTCTTGGCTGTTCTCACGCATATCCGGCTAGTATCGTTCCGAACAGTCAGCTGCGACTCCTTGCCGTTGACCTGCACTCAAGAAAGACTTTCCTCCAGTTTGTGACGACTAGCAGGTCATACTGCTTTTTACTCTACCATCGATCGCCAGCTTCTGCAGAGAACTATTTGCGGCGTGGTATCCATGGTATCGGTCCACGGTTATGATGACCCCAACCGTTACTTGCCCAGGCCAAGTGCAGAAAACTACGCTTGCTTGTACTAGATCTACACTACACTACACGTCTACAGTACAATCACACAACAGTAGATCCACGGCTGGCCAGTTCAGCTGGCAGTTGTATTGGTGTTGTTGCCGATGAGGCTACGAGTAGACGCGTACATGTACGTAGAGATCTACGTGTGCTCTAGCACTTTTTCGTCTTTGTCTTTGCTTTGTACTGTACATCATGGTACATGGTACAAGTGCAAGGCCAGCATGCTAACAGGGCTAGCGCTTGTTGTTGTTGGAGGCCAGGCCAGGAGGCGGGTGCGCCAGTGTGAACGCGCGCCTGGTCAGGGTACAGCTAGCTACAGGGTGTACGGTGTAGAACCACTGGGTATGTAGCTGGTGCGTAGATCTACTTGGCGCGAATTGGCGTTAGCTAGCTGTGGACATGGAACGGCACTTGACATCAAGCCGTGATATGCAGCATGATATGACCCACGGGCCACGAGGCTGGTGTTGGCTCAATGACCAGAATGATGACTGTCACGTCATGACATGAGGATACAGACAAGTACAGTCACCTTCGCTCGGCGGGGCATCAGAAAAATGTCCTTTAATATTCGCGAAGTGTCGTTACTGTAAATATACAAAATTTCGGCGCTGCAAAATTTCGGCACTTCACGATTTTTGACATTTCGGCGGCGATCTATTTTCGGCGTGGGGTAGAGAGCATGGTATAGTGCGACAGATGCTGTGAAAAATTTCATCGGCGTTTTAATTTAGGCGTTTTGGGTCGGTGCCGAATATAGCCGAAATTAAATAGCTGCCGAAAATTTGTATATTTACAGTATACCCGAAGTCTCATTGTATGTAATACATTTGGATGGGACTTTGCTCTGGGCATGGAAATTCTGTCGATATTCGCAAATTGCCGTTATATCCGCAGTCGTTATTAGCGAAGTTGACTGTACAACATGACCTGAGCATGGTCTTACAGTACATTGGAATTGTGGTATAGTAATCGCGTCATCGTTGTACACTGTCAAGTGGGGACTCTGCGATCTGGCTAGGGGCTAGGCTAGCTGGTGAATCATTAATTTTGCCGTTGTTGATGTGCTCAACTGTTACTGCAGTCTTTTAGTTTTACGATATGTGCCAGTCCCAATGTTGTGTCTTGTGCTTGTAAAGTAACTGTTGCAGTCTAGTCCCAAACTGACTGTCGTGAACATTTATTTTTACATGTACTGTGTGTAGTATGTCATGATGATAGCTATTTTTGTCACTAGTTGCACTGCAGTCTTCCAAGATACTTTGATCAGCAATGCGTCTTTGACTGTTTGTAGCTAAGACATAGTAACACTAACAGTGTTAGTTGTATGTTCTACATGAAATGACGTAATGTAACTCTAACTCGACGTAATTGTGTACATGTAATGATGTAATGACATGTACATGACTGTGCTATGTCACACTAGTATGTGCTACAATAGTGAGAAACCCCAGCTTGTCCAGAATGCTCAGCACCGGCACAAGGTCAAGGGTGCAGCAATAACACACAGAAGAGAACAGATACAACCAGCTAGATCATTGTGGCAACCGGCTAGATCATTGTTGAAACGCTGCGTGTTTCATGCACGCAGCAAAGCTAAGGCAATCCTGAGACAACGCAACGGTTTCTGTTCTATTTTGCCGTTGCGCACATGTAGTAGTAGTAGTAGTAGTAGTACAGTGCGTATCGGTTATAGTGTGGTCGTATACAAGAATATACTGCTTACAAGAATGAACACTCATTTTTTCATAATCATAACACATATTTTATGTGTATATTTATTCTTACAAGCAGTATTATCGCATAGTACAATATATCGGCCCTAAGAATTAGGCCTTGACGGATTATGCTAATATTTTCGTGAAATTATGCTTTTCGCATTGCTGAAAAAATTGCAGAATTATGCTATTTTTACGCTAAAAGTTATCATATTATGCCGCATTATGCTCACATATGCTGCTAATGATGGTTCTGTGCAAAATAACAGGGGATTTTTTTATAGGGCATTGTGCTGTAGTAGCAAAAGTTCAACGGGGTCAACGCACCGTCCGACCTACGACCATCACTGATTGTAATGGTCTGAACATGTTATCAAGGGAGTCGTAAACCTACGACTTCCTGTTGTATCTACTTGTACTTGTAGAACATGTACAACTCTATGGGATTTGGTGCGAACAGGCGGATTATTCCATTATTTATGCGATTCGTATGCGATTTGCCTTGAATTATGCGATTATTCGATTTTGGTAGGAGTTATGCGAAAAATTATGCTAGCATAATCCGTCAAGGCCCAGTGGGAGCTCAGCAGTCAGCACAGTCCACGCTTACTTGTCATGTAAGAATAATAATAATAATAATAATAACGGGGTCGCACCCTGTAATAATAACGGGGCTGTTAATTTTATAGTGTGACGTCAATGGGTCCTCGGATACGCGTGGCAACGCAGAGCACAATGGACAAACAGCAATGGCGAGGCCCAGCGTGATACGGTGATCTTGCTCCTAAGTCCTAGACTATGGCTTGCATGTACGCTCAGGTTCTAAGCGTCGCGGATCATGAAGCCCTTTCACGTGCTTCACCCACGTCAACAACCTGGTATAAAGGTGAGCGCGGGAACTAGCATTCTCTCAGTTACGTTACACAAGTCAGTAGTGAAGAAGAAATCGGTTCCGTTTGGTGTTGATTCAATACTTTGTGTTTTATAACTCCTTGTTTCTGAACGCAGACCTCTAGAACCAGGTGACAGAGTGCTATATTGTCGGTTCAAGGTGAAAGAAGAATTTTGCTTTCTGGATTCTCGCCTCCAGTTCTGGTGGATTGTGGTGCTTTCCAGGCAATCTGCATTTATTGACATTGTTGAAAATGCCTCAACACAGACGTCGGAAACCGTTCAGTGGCAAGCAGAAGAGAGCCCAGCTCCAGCGAAAGCGAGATGTGCAGCGATTCCGAGAGGACGGCGAGGAGCCTGCCAAAGAGAAGCTGGAGATACGCTCAGACTCGCCATCTGACTCAGATAAAGATGAAGAAACACTGGTCACGTCTGAAAGTGCCAAGATTGCAGATAAATTTGAGCCCAAGTTCGAAGTAGGCGATGCCGTGGCTGAGACAAGGCGTCAAGACAGATACAAACTGATGTTTGCCCAAGAAAGTGCCAGCGAAATCGAGGAGCGCAAGCGGGAGTCGCGTCAACCATTGCAAACCCTGGCAGAAAAAGACTTGGAAGTGTCCTATGAAGATATCTATGGAAGTATGGAGCACATCGACATGCCTGTTCGTCCCACCTGGCAATACAGCCTGAGCAAGCAGCAGCTGGAAGCTAAGGAGCAGCGCTACTTCAATGAGTACATTGACCGGCTCATGGCTGATACACACGGCCATCCGCTAAGCTACTTTGAGCGGAACCTGGAGACTTGGCGGCAGCTGTGGCGTGTGCTGGAGATGTCGAATGTAATAGTGGTTATCGCCGATGCACGCCATCCCATCCTGCACTTCCCACCATCCCTGTACCGCCACGTCGTACATGAACTGAACAAAACGCTCGTGCTAGTGCTGAACAAGATAGACTTGGTGCCGGCGAGTGTGGTACTGGCGTGGCGCGAGTACTTCTATGGACTGTTCCCGCAACTTCACGTCGTCCTCTACACGGCACGCCCAGGGAACCAGAGCAGCAGCCAGCGCTCCGACGCCAAGGGTCTGATGTCGCACGCCCGGTGCGGCGCTAAGCGGCGCATGATATGCGTACAAGGTGCCCGTCAGCTGATCCGCGCCCTGGCCAATGTGGTGGCCGATCACAGTATGCTGTCCGGTTGGACGGATAAACTTTCAAAGTTTGAAGTGTGCGACGATGCTGGAATAACAGCAGCATCAGTGCACGAAGAGATAGTACGTCATAGCCGGCGTCGTAAGCATACCGCATACTCCAGCAACGGTACCAACGGTGGCAATGAAGCTACGGCAGCGGCAACAGCATCCTCACCGCCGTCCTTCATTACAATAGGTCTGGTCGGCCATCCCAATGTGGGTAAGTCCTCCATTCTCAATAGCCTGATTGGCAAGAAAGTTGTAAGTGCGTCGCGCACACCCGGCCACACGAAGCACTTTCAGACGCACTTCCTCACACCGCACATCCGCCTGTGCGACTCACCTGGCCTAGTCTTTCCGTCACGTGTTGAAAAACAGCTACAGATCCTGTCCGGAATGTACCCTATTTCCCAAGTGCGTGAGCCATATACATCCGTCGGCTATCTGGCGGCGCGCCTGGGATGTAATTTGTTGTACCGACTGGGACTGGCCAAGAAAACAAGTGAAACCTGCCCGACTGTTCCTCCACAATCCGATGCATGCGTCGACAGTTCAACAAACCCGCCGTGCAACGGCCACGCTAGTTCAAGCTCACTTCGTTGTGACGGCCACACCTGGTCCGCGTGGGACGTCTGTGAGAAGTGGGCGGAGGAAAGGGGTTTCCGTACCGCAAAGGGCGCCCGTCCCGATACCTACCGTGCCGCGAATCATATTCTGCGCCTGGCGACAGACGGCAGAATAGCACTGTTCGTACGACCGCCGAAATACACTGAAGACTTAGCGAAATGGATGTGCCATCCCGAACTAAAGAGCGTTGTTGCAGTCCAACTGGAGGGCTTGGACCATGATGAGTTGAGCCTTAACCTGTTGGCACAGCTTAGTGCTAGCAGCAACTCCAGTGCTGCCGCATCGTCAGCAGATGATAGTTCCTGTCGTGTGGTAGCGTCACGTGCGGTCGCAGCCGCTCCGGCCACCCGCAATCCGTTTGCCGGATTGGCCGTGGCGGATAGTGAATGACGTGAGAAGTGACACGGACTGTGTTTGTTTGAGGTGCTGTCGCTCCAAGCTACATCTCACTATGTAACATTTCACACTGTGGCTGAATCACCCCATTGTTT